CTTGTAAGCACTAATACTTTAACCCCTGCACCACCAAAGAGCCCCCTTCTCAGCAACTTGTGTATGAGAGTGATAATCTTCGTGCTACTAGTAATCATTCTTGTTACTATTCATCATTTATAAATATACCTTTTCCTTGCTCTAAGCAACAGAAAGGTGGAAAAGATAATCTAAAGTACATATTTAACATTACCACATAATGTTGAATCTTGACATGATCCCTACTATTGGTAGTTGTCAGTGAGGAATCCTGAGGAGAACCCTGATGTGTTCAGTCCTGATCATCTTCTTAAACTGCAAAGCTCACAAAACATGAACTTGGGGAAGTCTGGTGTGTGTGCTTGGCATTTGCTTTGTTAGTCTGGATTCAGACTTAATCAAAACCAACATTGATATTGTCCAAAAGGGAAACTTAGGTCTAAAAAGAAGTTCAGAGTTTTCTCACGGCACTTTCTGTCATACTTCTGTGTTACATAATTAGGGCGTCTGCTTTTGTTAGATCAGTCAGAGGGCTCGATGGATTTTTAATTAGCATGTGAATACAGGTTAGATCTGAAAAACATACTCAGGAAAGACTGATGGTGTATAAGAATGGAACAAACTGGATAGCACATTCCACCGTGGGGTTAGTTAGGAAGAGCTCAGAGGGCTAAGGAATGCAAATATGTACATGCTCGATGAAAATGTGACTATTTAAAGTGGGCACAGGGAACACCATTTACCCAATCCATGGTTCTCAGAGCTGTAAGAAATGAGTGATCCTCTTCTGGATTGTTATCTGAGACAAACACAGAATCTGGAAAAGGCAGAGCTGGGGAAGAGAAAACAGAACCAAGACACCATGTTTTTTTGCAAGGCTCTGAAACGATTAAGTCAGAATTATTATCTGTTGCTTTCCTTTTCCTGTCTCTTACTGCCAGCCCCAAATTATGCACCAAATTAAGCAGGGATGATAGTAGTTCTTACCTTGGTCAAACCCAATGCTCTTTATATACAAAAAATTTGTACTTATGACACTTCTCTATTTCTGAAATGAAACTGATTGATAATGTCACATTTATGTTCAGTTTGCCAAAAAAATAGATGACCAAGTGTTGTAAGTCTACAGATTGATTATTAATGATCATACACAACTACATTAGAAAGCACAGATAATTAAACACTTACGCTTATAGTAACTAGTTACAAGTTTAGATTTCTAAGATAACAATATTCAACTAAATAGAACTGACATATTTTATCTGAAAGTTTGGAATGAAAGTTATAGATAGATGTGTGTAGCTATATGTATGTGTTCCTAATACCATCAGTGCTATTATTTTATAGATGGTTTAAAAAAAAAAACTCAGTAAATTCCTCAAAGCACAAAATACAATTATTTTTTCATTCAAACTATGGTAGCATTCTTGAAAAATTTAGCTAATGGTAAAGTGATGCAGTCATACATAATAATAAAATAAATTCAACAATTTGAAAAAAAATCATGTAAAAAGTGCTTCCTTCCTCATTTTATAGGTCACAGAATAATTCTTCGTTACGTCCTTAAATACACCTAGATCAGACGTTGGTGAAGTATTGCCCAGCAACTATTTCTGTAAATCAAGTTCTACTGGGACACATTCTCATTTGTAATTGGTTTTGGCTACTTTTAAACTACAGTGGAAGAGTGAAATGGCTATACGTATAGAGACCATAGACCCTATCAGGTCTACATGTGATCTAGTCTTGTCCAGAGAAGCTGTCGAACCTTGCTGTAGATCCAGAGTTTCAGTCCTTCAAAAGCCAGAAGCCTTCATTTTCAGCCCAATTATTTTAACATTCAAAAGCACCCATCTATTTTTTTTTGGTGGGGGAGGATAAGCTATATACTTCAGAGTACTAACACACTGATGGTGAGATGGCTTTCTTTTACAGAAGTGCTCCAGCTAATAAATGCAAAAGAAATGACAGAATTAGAATATAATTTTGTAACTTCTGATAAGATGATGGATTCCAAGTAAAATGCTCAATGGCTGCTAATAACACATAAAGGAAAACAATCAAGTATCATGCACCAGTTAGAGATGTACACCTCATTATCTATATGGGATTCATATAAAACAAGTAAAAAAACAAAAAAATTTAAGCAATCAAGTCTCTAGAATTGACTAACAGTTTATAAGAAATACAGGAGTTGAGAACCCTGTTAAATGACATCACATATGAGCAGTTGACAAAATCCCAAATATGGATAACTTTATGTTTTGAAAAGCTGTTTCTGGAACAAATAAACTATAAGAAAAGAGAAAGAAAGATTCAAGGAATGTACTATACTCTTCCACTAAATTAAGCAGGTGGATCCTGTTTTTAACACACTATAAAAAAAAATGTATGGACAAAAGGGGAAATTTGGATATTTACCCACTGATTATTTCATGACATTAAGTATTATGGTTTTTTTTTCTTTTAGCAGTTGGTGATATTATGATTATGTACTTTTAAATAAAAAGTTCTTAGCTTTTAGAAACAAATGTTAAAATATTTGTGGATGGAATTATGTATCTAGAACTTCTAGATATTCTATATTTACGAGGAGGGGAGAGAACTGATGGAGGTATAGATAAAACATGTTTAGTCATAAATAGATATTTACATATGTTTGACTATTCTGTGTATGTTTGAAAATTAACCAAAAAAGTTAAAAAAACAATGCTACTATGTCAGGAATAACACAATAGAGCTTTCCTTTTCAAATTCTTGAATCTCAAATTGATTCTTTCTCAATTTAACCACTATTGGGAAGAATCTATCACAATTAAGTTTCTTGCTCCCTATGTCTAGAAAAGTGACTTAACGCTCCATCATTTGGAGAAGGCTTGGTTAGAAAATCTCAAATAGAAAAATGATTCCTATGTCCTAAAATAACAGTAAACAGAGAGGCAACATTTACTCACCTTGGACTTTGCTTTTGAATATGTAACAGCCATTCTTTCTTCCTCTGGGCTCTACTCTCAGGGGGGAAAAACGGAATCGTGAGGTACTAGGTCCTTCTTAGGGTACACTCTAAATTATATCACATCCTCTCCCTCCTCCCAACCAACCCATTATTTAATTAAAGGGAAGTCAGGAGACTAGGAGAGAAAACAATTCAGCACTTTCTGTATTAAAATGAAGGCCAAGTTTACAGTGGCCTTGGGCTAGAATTTATTTCTGGATCCAAAACTATCCACTGGAAACAGTTACACAGTAGTGTGCCACAGATTTTCAAGTATGTGGCTGGCGCTTATTATAATCATTCTCCCAAGAAGTAATCCCTCCTGACACCCATTACTTTTCTAAGTAGCCTATCTTGAAGGTGCTAGAAGACTATCTAAAACTCTTATCTTAAAACTAGGTCTGTGGCTTCAGAGACCCAACTTTCAACTTTCTGTCATTTCTCAGTGTCCAATACTGTTAAGGTTATAAGGTCAGAGAACACTGGGAAGCGAAGCAGCAGGAAATCTAAAACTACAATCCCAGAATGAATGAAAGATGGATACAGAAATGGGCAATCAGGCTGTCAGAGAACAAAGCCACACAGGATGATTATTTTTTTTGCTGTCACAGAACAAAGCCACACAGGATTCATGACCCTCAGACAGTCTCAGCTCCAGAATGAAGCCCAGTGATACCAAAATGCAACTTTTTCTCAATCCCATTAAACTCCCCTAAGATCACAAGCTATAAAATATACAAATGACCACAAAAAGTGACACATGATAACAAGGTTACATTATCAGACCACTGGGTCTTACCAAAAGCTAATCACACCCAACTCCGTCATTCAAGCTTACATACCCAAGGACTCTTGCCAGGTATATGCCAAAAAAAAAAATCCCTTTTACTCTCTCCCCAGTTATGGAAAGAGCACACACAATCCCCCTCCCTGTGTACACACTCACCCAATCAGAGTCAGGAAAACCCAGCAAGTACTATGTCACGGAAACGAGCAGTCACGAACACCCGGTCAAGGCAACACTATTATGACACCTCAAAGTCACAGGCGAATCCCAGTAATACATAAAATATCAGTCACATACACGACCTCACGTTCACAAGCACATTCAAACACCCTGTCCCAAAAGCACTGCCACACTTCAGTAACAGACAACCTCAATAGTGCACTCAGTAAACACAATCACACTGTCTCACAAGCACATTCCAGTTGGGTAAGCATCAGACACAAACACACTGCCAGATCAGTATTATCACATCCGCAGTCACCAGCAACTCACACTCACACCAATGCTGACACAAAACCACTCCCGCACACGCCCATTCGGCCATGCACTCACCACTACCGGGCAGGCGATCGCACAAAACAGCTGGACCACCGGCCCCACAAGCAGTCCCAGCGACAGTTGTCCCCTGGCATTCCCGACACCCTCACCTCCACCGGTGGTGTACTTCAGGATCCAGGCTCTGGCGTCCGCGATTCAAAGCTGATTTCGGGTTCGCGCGCTCCGCCGGACCCGGGCCACGATCCTCCGAAAGACACAGCCCTTTCTCCACGCGAGGAAAGCAAGTCGTGAACAGGCGGAAACGGAGTCGCTTCAGCCGCGCGGGGCTTCTGGGAAATGTAGTCCAGCGCGGGGCGGTAGCCTCCACCCGCCCGCTCCGCCCTGCCCTGGGGGTTTCTGGGAGCGCCCGAAAGGGATCAGTGCGCAGGCGTCGGGCGCCGCGTGGGCTGGAGGCTGAGGTGAGATCCGGTGGAGTCGCGCTAGCGCCCTCAGGGGTCCCCGGCTGGTGGGACCGGGCGGTGGTCGGGTGCTGGAGTAGAGCGGAGCCGCGGCGGGCCAGCCGGAGCCTGGAACTGGCTTGGGAACCTCTGCGCGCCTGGCCAGGGCTGCCCTTTGGGGACTGGGAAGGTGTATGTGGGAGCTCGCGAGGTGTCCGGCGGACTGGGCGCCCCTCAGTGGCGATGGGTACGGTTGTATTTCTGCAGGTGTCTGATTCTTGCTGCTGCTGGCATTTTAGAATTATGTGGGACTGTCAGAGCGTGGGACCGCTACTGTTGGGGTGTGTTTAGTGCGGTGGTGGCGATTTGCTCGTCTCCTCTGCGTGTAACAGATCGAGTAGCAAATGAGCCTGTGTATGATGGTGAAAAAAATGACGGTCAAGTTTTTCTTTCATTCATGAGCACTAATTTAATGATTTGTTTTGGGGAAGGTTGTTTATCCGGCATGCGTTCAGACTTGATTTTTTCTGTTCGATCAACCTATGTGTTATGGGATAAGATGAAAAATTCTTTTGGTTTTGTGGGGTTTTTCAGGAAAGATTGTTTCAAAGCTAGTCTTGGGTAACGTTTCCTCAGCCACAGTCGCCCAAAGTAGGCATCCACTCTTTTTTAATACTAGGGAGACATGATTAGGTAATGTCCATCGACTAATAACTATCCCTAGAAGAATGAATTTTAGCAGAGTCAACATTAGTCACGTTTCCTGAAGTGTAGGTCAAAGCTTTCTCCCCAGTTTGGAATGAGGACGTCTCGGCTCAGAGAAAGCAGTCTAAGACTATCCAGTTTGCTGGTTAGCGAAAATTTGTCTTCACTTACTTGGAGAACTCGCTACCCTGCTCTTTTAAAATAAATAATCACAAATTTGTAAGCTACTCGGAAATAGAAAGCTGGAGTAGGGGGTGGAGTCCACAAAATTCTGCAGAGTTCGTTTAGGACATCCTTCCCCTTAACAGGTGTACCTGTACTTTAGCTTTTCTTTGGTGTTGGAAATCCTTCAAATGCTGAGAGGCATTTTTAGCTAACAAAGACTTCAAAATACATAAATATTAGAATAATATTGGGGAAAGTGAGGAAGAGGAAATATTTGATACAGGTATATTTGACTCTTTAAAAGTAAACATAAAACTTAAGACAAATAATGTATTACAAACATAACACACTGATATTTTTGTAACCCAAAATACAAATAGCCAAAAATACATAAATACTTCTAAAAATTAATGAAAGAGAAAATATTAAAATAGAAATAGGGCGAAGGCTAATTTGCAGAAAATTCAGATGGTCAAGTCTTCCTGTGTTTAGAACAGTTCAAAAAGCTATGACATTTTATGATGTCAGATGCTGACAAAGAACAGCAGGTGTTGTTAGCTTGTGGGGGAAATGTACAGCTCAGCACACTGCCAGGAGACTGAACTTGCTGCTATCCTAGGAATAATAACTTTTACGAGAAAAAATACACATACTCTGATGAAAATCTTACAGAAATGAAAACACATGTGCAATTATTTGTGTATACAGATATTTATTGACAGCTGTTTGAAATAGCAAAGAATTGGAACGAACATGTTCATCAACTAAGGAAAAAAACTTGGACATGTGGTATTTATACATACATGATCAACTGCAGCTACTAACACTAAAGTGGATATTAGGTCTACATGTACCTGGGGCGATGCCCACGGTGTATGACAGGAAAAGTTGCAGACTGATGTCCATACAGTGATCCTGTTTAAATACATAAATAACCTCAAACAAATACCACCTACAAATGTGTTCACTTACACATAAACCTATGGAAAGCTACTCTCTAAGCTTTCAACATGTTAGCTTAGGAAATCAGGAATTTTTTTCCCCTGTTAATGTATATTTACTATAATTTTTGGTTTTGGGGAGATGGGCAATGTAATTTCAAAAGAGCAATTTAGTCCAGAAAAGAATGCGTACATAATCATTTAAATTTAATTTCCAACATTTCTTATAAGGACAGTAAAAAAACTGTTAAGTAGAGAACAAAGAAATGGATGGACTGTCTTTATTCTGTTGCACATATTACCTTAAAAGAAAATCTCCAATTTTGAACTTGACTTATGGAATAAATAAATGTTAGAAGGACATTTACTTCACTACCATGCCTTTCAAATTCCAGGAACTTGGCTTTTTAAAGACATCGCAGATTGAACTAAAGTGTATGCATGTTGGTGAGGGGAGGAAATAAGGAAAGATTGTGAAAGAAGATTGCTAGCTAGAGGAATTGTCCTTTAGTACAAAAAAAGGTCCTATATTTAGAAAAAGAATATGATTGGTTTACAGAGAAAGTACTTTGCTTTCCCCTAAACTTAGTGGGTCACCAGCTATTATGCTTAGAATTTTCACCACTGGGGTTATTCTTTTTAGTTGGAGCAGATTTTACATAAGTACTTCATTTGCAAAAGATACTAACATGTTTCATAAGAAAGGAGTCAGGGTCAAGTAAATTTGGTACATGATGGTTAAAGAAAAAAAATACTGCTTTACTGTAATATTTAGTGTAGCCCTGATAAAATTAACTTATTGTTTCTAGAAATAATGTGAAACATGCAGTAATTTACAGATCTGACCACAGAGGGTTTTCTCCCCCAAATATCATCTGTGTTCTGGTATTTCTTGAAATATACTGTGGTAAATTTTAGATTAATATATTATCTTTGAAATCCAGCCATTAACACACAAATACAGTCCTCCATAAAGGAATTAGAAATGAATAATTTTAAATAGCACATAGTACATTTACACATAGTAAAAAACATTTTCCATATACAGCAATCATGCAGTCTAATGAGCAGTGAGCTTTATTCATGATGTACTGAATTACAAAACTTAAATAAAGCAGACTGGAAAACAGTGGAAGCCTGAGTGACTCTGTTGCAATGTTGATTCTCTAGTTTCTGGTGTGTAATGTCTCCAGTTTGAACTTCTAATTTGCAAATCACACATACATATATACACAGAGTATATTTAAAGTTTGAATGTTGATAGTTTAAAATGTGTTAAATAGTAAGACAGGTAGTAATATTAAGAGAGTATGTCCTGGCTAGAAAACTTTCAGAACATTATTATCAGAGCCATTGAAATTGTAATTCAAGTAAAAGGCAAATGAATAGATCAAATCATAATTTAAGTATCTATAGAACTACTGGGGTATTAACATTGATAGCTTGAACAACTAAAAATCAAGTGTTATTACTAATGTTATTTTAATTTCACTTTGGCTGTTAATGTCAATAAAAAAAACCCTATTTGGAAATTCCCATCTTGTAAGAAGAGCAAAGCATCAAATGCTTAACAATATTCATGATGGGAAAAAACCCTGAAATTATTTAATGAAATTTAAATTATTTAATAAAAGAAAAAAAAGGTTTATATTTATTTTTATATGCCAGAACTTGATTCTGTTTTGGTGCCTTTGTCATAAAATACTAATTTTGCAACATGGCTGTTAAGCATTTAACTAAATGTGTTTCCAATGAACTTCTCTAGGCAATAATACTAAATTAAATTTTAGATAGTATATTAGACAATGATATGAAAGTATTTCTTCATTTGGGTAACAAAGAAGTCTGTAAACCATAATAGTTTGAAACCAAAATGAATGATAACAACTGGCGACCGTCTCAAGTCATTTTTCCACTATAATCATCTCTTTTTTTTTAAGATTTATTATTTATGCATACAGAGCTGAGGTGTAGGCCAGCGGTGCAGGGGTGGTGAGAGGATTCACCAAGGACAGGGTAGGGAGCAGAACAGGCAGATGGACAAAGTACACTGCTGAGGGGAGCAGAGGTCTGCCGCACCATGTGGGTCACCTCTGGGGTGGGGGTCAAACTCATGCGGAAGTGGCTTTAGCTTCTTAGTGCTGTGCTTTAACCTGCTGTGCCACCAGGGAGGGCCCTATAATCATCTCTTACAGAAATAATAATTCCTAAGCTCAAGAATTGTGCTTAATCTACAAATAATTCAATTTTATATATTCTGGATAAGAGGTAATCCTTTGTGTGGCAAATGTTATTTATATTTTATTTTGTGTATTTGTATCTGTTATTTATAGCTGTTACCTATTATCTGTTCATTAATTTTGATACTATGGCTATGCTGCTAGCCTCACAAAATCTGTTTCAGAAATTGTATGAGAGGGTGGGAGGTCAGAAAATTTGAAGTGAAAATCTAACTAAATTAAATTCCAGGAAAAAAGAATACTTTACAGTTCATTCTGAGGATAGTATTACACTAATATCAAAATGAGACAGACTAGACTAAAAAATGAAGAAAATGACAGAACAGTCTCATAAATTTAAGCGCAAAAACCCTTAAAACAAATGTTAGCTACTGTCAGCTCTAACAAGGCAATTCATAACAGGACTGAGTGTAATTTACTACAAGTATACAAGACTAGTTGATATTTAAAAGCCAGTCAATGTAATCAACCATATCAACAGGTTAAAGAAGAAAAACATGATCATACCAATTGCTGCAAAAAATGCATTTGGCAAAATCCAGAATACATTTATAATTAAAAACACAAACTCTCCACATGTTAGGACTAGAGGATAAATTTTGATTTAGAAAAGTGTGTCTATTGATACATAAAACCTGGTAACATACTTAAGTGGTAAAAGATTGAATGTTTCCTCCTAAGATCAGAAATAAGATGAAGATACTGCTCTCACCACTGTTATTAAACAAAACACTGGAAATTATAGCCAGCAAAATAAGGCAAGCAAAAGATA